TGCCTTCCTTCTGATCACAACAAAAGAGTGGATGAAGTTTATTTTTAATGAAGATCCAGACCGCGTCAGTAAGAACTTGAAAAAAGGCAGTTTATGACCTTTTAATGTTATTAGCTTTTTGTAATGGGCCTGTTAGGGGAATAATCTTTTTTTTTTTTTCGGTTTTTTTTTTTTTTCTTAGCATGAGTCTAATCTCTGGTATAATTGTATAACTGTTTACTTAAACTGTCTGTCCACTGTATCTTTTTTAAAATAATCTACTCCATCTAGGTTATCCATCTGTTTGTATTAGAATCTACACATTTTTCCTCCTGTTTTACGGTTTCCTAACTGTATTTTTTTTTATGCCACAGGAGACACAACACCTACAAGTACACGTAAGTATTAGTAAAAAAAACAAAACAAAAAAAAAACTTTTTTACTGTACTATTCAGTAGAGCTGATGATTCCTCTTGTCAGTAACGGTCACCCTTGGCTCTTTGATCTTTTTGATCTGAAATGTATGAAACTGGTGGATTATGAAATGTGATAATTCTAGTATTTCTGTAAATGCAAGTTCATATATTTGACGGATTGTGACAGCTCAGAGATTCAGAGTATCCTATAATAGGCTGGTTTCTGAGCATTCTGCAGGTCATGTCATATTTCTAGTTGGACATTGTAGTTAGTTTTAAATTAATATTTACTTCTGGGTTATGGTTAATTTTGTTGCAAGTGTTACAAAGGGATTTCACATTTTACAAAGTGTTTGTCTTAATCCATTAAACAATGTATTTTTTTTTTAGCAGCTCCATGGGTTGTTGCACTGATTGTGATTGTTGTGATTGTTTTGATTGGTCTGGGTAAGTAATTCTGCATATTTCACCTGATAATCTACATGTCCTATACCTTCTTATTCAATACAGTCACCAAATCTTTTGTTAAGTTGTAGCAGTGTTATGCTTTAAAACTGACTGAGTTTGGGTTCCAGGGGGAAAAAAACAACAGTTATGAAATAATTTTTTCCAAAAATATAATCAGTCAGCTTAAAATTTTTTATAATGAACAAAATGCAAAGAAACCGAGAATGTTTTAATTTTACCTTTTTGATAATGACTTTATATTCTGAAAAATAAGTCTTACCTGATTATCACACAAGGCCATAATTGCATTGTTGAGAGAGAGAAACAGAGAGAGGAAAAAAAGATAAGTTAACGTATAATAAACGTTTTTTTTTTAAGTTCTCGTCACTCCACAACAAATCCTTTAAACTTATATTTTGCATTCCTGTTCTGAATACTGTTAAATTTAAAGTAAACTTAATGTATATTGTAGTGTAATTTATTATTAACAACATTTATTATAATCTATTTAAATCATAACTGAATCTACTGGTGTGTGAGAAATGTGCTAAACATATACACTTGGGCTGATATACCTCCCTCACTGAGCATAAATCCAATTGTGCACTTCGTCCAATCCCCCTGACAACTGTCACACAGTATCAGTTTTGTTTTTATTTGTGAAATATTCAAGAAAATTAGTTTTGTTGTCCTTTTTATGTAGGATTCTGACATTGTTAAAATGAGAATTTGATCTTTTTTTTTATTACAATCAAGGTTAATCATTTGTAACAATTTATTTCTGTTATTAGTTGTGGTTGGAGTGCTGTGTTACAAAAGGAATCGGTAAGGAGGAGGACATTGAGTTTTGAAGGTTCTTCCTCATGTATTTAGCAAATACATACGTGCATATGCACACTCTCATTTATGCATCAACAGCCCTGAGTGTTTTCTAGACACTTAAATTATTCTTTCTTCTGGCTTTTTACCTGAGCCTGCTGTTATTGGGACCTGCCAGTTTTCATACCTTAAAAATATAGTATAATACAGTATGTAGTATAATTATATAACATTTATATAATTTATTCTTTGTTTTTAAATAACAGCATGCATTATATTTTTTGGTGAATGACTATTTGCACCTCTAATTACAGGTGTTCATGAAGTTGCCATGGAGAAAGTCTGTGAAGCATCTTGCATGTATATATCATTTAAATAAGCACTTCCCAGAATTGTCAAAGGCTGACTAATTTCTGGCAGCAAATTCCTCCATAATCAGACCCACTGTTGCTTTGAAAAGCCCAGCTTAATTTGAACAAACTCCTTTCTAGCAGTCGCTAACTTCACCCCATGCTGTGCTCTGAAAGAGATCTGTCTTCACATAAGTCAGGTTGATTTCACTTTTATAAAGTGTTTGCTTGTCATTTCTAACTTAATTTTCAACACTGTTGATGCAGTGATCACTCTTCTGTTAATGATGTTGCTGAGAATGTCTGAAGATTCACACCAAAAGAAGTGCACTGACTGTCCCATACCTCACTGATTTGGTTGAGAGCTAAATTTAGCATGAATATTTATGTAGAAAGTCTGATCAATTCTGATTTAAAAGAGATTAATGTTTGAATTTGTAACTATTCCATAGTATTTGTGAAGTCAATAAGGCTTAGTTTTAATTTTGCCTATTACTTTTCATTTGGATAAAACAGGATGTATATATTAACCTTCCAGTAAATATTCTGCAGAATGTGATTTGCAGTGCAGATTTGAAATGAAATGTTTTGTCTAATCCTGTTGAAGTACTTAGTGCCTTTTCATTCTACTAGAGTTTTTGTTCAGGGTTGTCTAACACTATGCGTAGAGCAGAATTTGTTTAGGTTCTAATTACATTAGAAATGCTTTGCTATTGATTACACACTTAGATCTAATGAAGAAAAAGAAAAGAGAATTCAGTACTTTTCTTTCCTGTGATCGTAGATATTTTTTTTGTAAAGTTTTGATTTAAAATGCTGTAATTTATCTAATTTGCTTTTGCCAAATTAAAGTCATGTAAAATTATCTGTGGTTTAGTTCAGCTAATATTTTCTACCATTTCTGTTAAATTTGTCAAGTAATTCAATTTTAACAGCAAAATCGTTTCCCAAATAAGTGTTTTTTTTGTGTGTGTGTTGAATTTGACTGCTTAACTGTTTTTTCAGCTTGCAATTTCAAATATGTATCATACTGTTTTATTGTAGCAATTAGCTGTTGTTTGGAATAATGGTTTGGAACCACTACTTTGACTCTTTGACGGTGCAAACGCTGAAATTCAACAAAGTTGATCTTCTATAAATCCACCTCTTGCAATTGTGTATTTCACTGAGATCTGTAGGTGCCTGGATGGTCTCAAAATAAAAGCTCCATGGTCAAAACATAACGCAAATATTTTCCGTTTGATCATTTTAGTTTAGTTTTTAGATATCGCAGACTTGAGCATTGATTCACTTTGACAAATGTCTAATGTAAAATTAGATTTTGCAAGACCAGTTGCTCCATCATCAGCAGATACATTTCGTATTGCAAAATTCAACATGCATAGCTGCTTTCTGTATCACAAGGCTGCCAAAAAAAACGTTCAGTCAACATTGTCCTTAAAATCATCATTACAAGGAGCAATCAATTGAGATATTTAGTGGTAGTTTAATCCTTCAACTAGAAAAAAGGATGTTCATAACATGATTACAATGCATTGCTCTGATTGCAAATCTAGTGACGTGAACTGCTCATTTGAATCTGTAGAATATACAATGTATGTTTCACAACAACGCCCAACAAAACACATCGTAAAATAAAAACATACTGAACATCAATCCTACTGGACATGGCATGTTTTGAATGGAATATTGCTCCAATGAGCTTAACAGATATACAATAGTCACTTCAATTCACTTTGCATCCTGTTGTACAGCCAACAGCAAAATTCTGAAAAGCTATTTTCATTTAAAAACAAATTTAAGTCTACTATAAATCATTCAATCTTTATATTTTTAAAATTGTGGGCATCTCATAAATTAATTCAAACAATTATCCATCGAAAATACATGAATACTGGGTACTTATGGCACTTTTATCAGTTTAATAACCAATAAATCACAATTCAGCCTAATGACCACTTTTCATTTTCCATGCAGTGACTGGTCCGTCTTAGGCACTTAAAATGTACATTTGGCATTATTAAATATTGGAAACTCTTCATGTACATCTACAAAAAACATATACAAATCTAGTACAATATGAGAAACAAACCACCAGATTTAAATAAGATAAATAACAGTAACCCAAAAAATAACAGCACAAGATGTTCTAATGCAAAACATGTCAAACGTTATTGCATTCATAAGAAACATGCATGTGCACTGTGTGTGTACTGAAATGTGTAGGTTCAATTCAATGCATTAGGAATCATAAACTAATGTCAAAGAACAACCTTTTTGCAGCATTTATTAATCTCTAGACCACTGGTTCCCAATCCTGGTCCTGGAGAACCCCCAACACTGCACATTTTTGGTGTCTCTCTTATCTGACACATTTGAGGTCTTGGAGTCTTCACTAATGAGGTGACGAGTTGAATCAGGTGTGTTTGAATAGGGAGACATCTAAAATGTGCAGTGTTGGGGGTTCTCCAGGACCAGGATTGGGAACCACTGCTCTAGACCAACGTTAATTTACAAATATAAAATTTGTATAATATATAATGTTAACCCATGTTCCTTTATATATATGTATACTAGTATATAACAATGTTCATTTATACAACTTCAATTTATATATAAAATCATTACAAATGCTGTAAAAGAATTGTTCATTGTTATTTCATGTTAGCTATTGCATTTATTTGTATAGAACCTTATTGTAAAGCTTTATCAAAGTTAATCAAATAATAAAAAATGTAATAAGGGAGAGATGAAAATAATTTCACCACTTTCTACAAGACATCAAAATAAATTTGAAAAATATTATTTGCCTTAGAATATACATACTCTCAAAAACCCTCAAAGACTCATGATAGATCCATAAATTCCTGATTACCAACATCTTTTTTGACACATACAAAATCAAGCATATTTTTACAATTTTGACAACATGACAGTTTTTGGTTGTTGGCTCAGATCACTCACTCTGAGGCACTGAAATCGCTGGGCCTTTTGGATCATCAAAGCGGTCCATGGTGCGAACCTGCATGATCATGTGCAGGCCGTAGGTAAGAATGAACACCATGAGCAGAGAGGTCAGCAGGCCCATCCAAATCCCTGGAGTGAAAAATCCTGCACAATCGCTGGCATACGAGAAGTCTTCACCAGTAACGTTGAAGCCTTGGATCTGTGGGAAACATGGTACATCAATCAGCTGCAGTATGTGGCGTTTTTGTGGTATACTGTATATGGGTTTTGTAAATGAAGCTGAATCGTTTAACACTACCAGCTCAAAAACAGCGCACTGTAATAGCACCTGAAAATCAGTGAAGGACAGCGTCCATTGGTTAGCGTTGTCCGTAGCACTGCGAGGCACCAGCAGGGGGCTCTGAATGCTGCTCACGCTCTGGCAATGGAAAGAATACTCTGCAGGAGAGTAGATCCCGCCACTGGCGTTAAAGATAGCCCTCTGCCCGTCATACTCCAGCACCACCTGCTCCATCACCGACCAGTTGCGAGCAGATACAGGAAAGAAGATCTTGCGCATAGAGAAGCTTTGGCGAAGTATCACAAATTAGGGGTGTGACAATATACTGTTACAATACATCACAATATATTGTTACAATACTTCACAATACAAAAATACAACAATATATAACATGCATACACTATTGGCCAAAGGTTTTAAATAATTAAACAAATTTTAAATGTTTTTGACAAGTCCCTTATGTTCAATAAAGATACATTTTTTTCTATAAAAATACAATAAAAACTGTAAAATTATGAAATATTATTACAGTTTAAAAGAACTGTTTTGTTGTTTTATTATATTTTAAAATGTAATTTATTCCTGTGATGGCAAAGCTGAATTTTCAGCAGCCATTCCTCCTGTCTTCAGTGTCACATGATCCTTCAGAAATCATTCTAATTATTAAATAAATACCTTGGTGAACGTCTTCCAAAAACAAAAAACAAACCTTAATTAATCCTAACTTTTGACCCCTGCTGTACTTCACCCAAAACGCAAGTCTAGAAAGATTTAATTTAGCATTAAATATGGTAAATTCAAACAACTGAGCTTCCATGTTTATAAATCATTTGTAATAAAGAAAACATAAAATACATTATTTACTAAAATACAATATTTAAACATTTTTAAATGTATATAGTCAGGGACATCGTGCAAGTACGTGTTTAACACAATTTTTTTTTAAAGATAAACATAGTTATTAATTTTTCTATTATGGTGTTGCTAATGGCCTGTACATGGGGGACCAATGTTTAAAGGGGGGGGTACAATGCCGTTTCATGCATTCAGAGTTGTTTACACTGTTAAAGAGATGGATTCTCATGCTAAGCATGGACAAAGTTTCAAAAAACAATTTGGACATATGACGGCTTCTGTGCCAAATATCGTACTTCCGGGTTCGTACAAGGGTCTGAGAGTAACGCAATTTCAATTCTCTGTGTGTATGTGCTGTACATGTGGAAGAATTGACAATAAAGCAGACTTGACTTGACTTGACTTGACTTGACAAGTTGCAGAGAGTTTTTTTTTCGATCGTGGCTCTTCATGACGTAGACCAGGGTGGAACTCCTTATATGGGCATTTCTCCTGGAAGAGCGCGCCCGCGCACGCATCGACCAGAGTGAGAGCTAGATCGCGCCCATCAATGCGCTTCATCCAGCAGCAGCGCTGCACGGGACTTGCTCAGAAAGAATAGGCTTCTTTTATGGCAAGCCGTTTTAGCATTTAAAAGTTTGTTTTGACTATCCATAAATATAATTTAAGATAGGAACAATTGTATTTTGACGAGTCATAATTATAATTCGACTAGTCACAATGACAATTAGAGATATCTGCAATTATAATTGCACTAGTAAGAAATCGGATTAGAGATATCTCTAAATACTTTATGACTTGTCAAAACTCTATTTAAGATATCTGTTATGACGTCATAGATATCTTCAATAGGGCGTCACACATATGCAAAGGTAATTAGAGATATCTCTAATTCAGTTTCGACTAGTCACAATTATATTTTAAGATATCTGAATTGTACCTGCTCCTAGTCGAATGTGGTGTTGTGTGACGTGAGACTAAATTTACTCAGCTCCTCCCAGAGTTCCTCCCCGACTAATGTTTAGTGCTAACTGCTAAGTGCTAACAACAGTGGTCTGCTTTTCTTGTCACTGAGAGAAAAGCTACTGGATGAAGTGCTTCAGGGGTTATTAAATAATATCTGGATGCAGCCATATGTGGTAAAAGGTCTCCAGCGTACATGTATGTATAGCGCTGTGATTTTAATTTAATCATGTTGCAAAACGGACCAAATGCAGTGTAATGTTCAGTAAAGGCAGAAAACCGCAAACTGAGACTAAATTTACTCAGCTCCTCCCAGAGTTCCTCCCCGACTAATGTTTAGTGCTAACTGCTAAGTGCTAACAACAGTGGTCTGCTTTTCTTGTCACTGAGAGAAAAGCTACTGGATGAAGTGCTTCAGGGGTTATTAAATAATATCTGGATGCAGCCATATGTGGTAAAAGGTCTCCAGCGTGCATGTATGTATAGCGCTGTGATTTTAATTGAATCATGTTGCAAAACGGACCAAATGCAGTGTAATGTTCAATAAAGGCAGAAAACCGCAAACTGCTCGTCTGAATTTATTTATTATACATTTAGACATAATGAAGAACAATGTAATTATACAATAACAACATGAAAAATAGTACAAATAAATGAATGACGGACAAGAACAATGCTTCAGAATCAGATGCAGTCAAAAAAGGTGAAGGCTGATTTTAAAAAGATTACAATTTAATAAAAGTTTAACTGGCATTGATGACATTTATTAGTGGGTTACATTACGTTGTGTATGGATTCAGGTTTACTTGTGTCGTTATGGCAGCTTGTTTCCGCCATGGAATAAAAAATAAAAGTAATTTGCAGCTTTTTATCTTACAATTCTGACTTTTTTTTTCTTCTCAGAATTGCGAGATATAAACAATGCGAGTTATAAACTTTATAACTCACAAATCTTTGCATTGTGTTTAGCTATATCTTGCAATTCTGAGAAAAAAAGTCAGAATTGTGGAATAAAAAGTCGCTATTTATTTATTTATTTATTAATTATTTCTTTATTTAGTGGAGAAAACGAGCTTCCATAGGAAATAGCACACAAGGTGGGAGTATTGCATTTTATTATAGCAAGAGATCCATGATGATGATATTCTGCTATGTTCA